CTGAAAGTAAAGAAGGTTTCATATAATACTTATCTTTTATATAATTAACACAGCATATTAATTTGCGTCATTATTGATTACACACTAAGACAGACATTCGTTCTTATCATTTGATCACATTCTTATCATTTATCAGTGGAAATATTCCTTTTATTCCTTCATTTTGCCATTTCTTTACTTCATTTCAAACTCATACATATCCTCATTTTCTCTATTTTAATGTTCAAAATCGGTACTGGAAATATTGCAGATTCTAGTGCTAGCAATAGGCGCATCTATCCTCTCAGATGGCATCTTGTTGACATCTTTTATCTTCGAAATTATTCGGTACTGGAAATATTCAATGACAACAACAAGCGCATCTATCCTCTTAGATGACACCTTGTTGACACCTCAATAATCAAAAGTATTCTCTCACCTTTCTCCCTCTCTTTCATCTCTTTTCCTAATGACATTTAATGTTACTTGTCATCTAATTCATGAGCAATCACTCATCAACCATTATAAATGCAATGTATAAATTGTCACCATGGTATGGTGACAATCAACCATTCACACAAGGATTCATTTAGAGTTGCAAAGATGGCTTCCGTCCTCCATTCCTCACAAACATGAGCATGGAATGATAATAATGTTGATATTGGTTTTGGTGTTAGTAAAATGAGATGACGATGAGGACGATGATGATGATGATGATGATAATGATGATGATGATGATAATGGCGGTAGTGGTATGGTGATTGGTAATGGTGATGGTGATGCTCTTCGCTTATCATAATGTATGATCATTTTCGAATCTTGTTGTTTGTTCCATCTCGCACATTTCATCTTCAAAATGTCAATTTGCGCCGAGCTACCATACATATCCTATCAGTGTCCCTTTTTTTTCCCCTTTTCTTTTCCTCTTTTCCCCTTCCTACTACCTATTTATCATCATTTGGACCCATAAAATCAGGATGAATAGAAAAGTAACCGAAGAGTAATCATTCCGTTCTAATTTTTACATCCATTAACGGTTATTTTCCGGTTTGCTATTCCTGAATTACACCAAAGATACTATTCCTGATTATTAATCTATATAGTTTTTTAAATCAGTAATATACAATTTTCAAGTTCTTAATCTTCTAAAAGTTTTTATTAGTGCTTATACTTTAGCGCCAAGCTTAACTTCATCACTAACTATGAAGCAATATTTATTAATATGCAAAGATTAATCTCTAAGATGTTGCATTCTTTAACCATTGCTATTTTGCTTAATGAAAGGCAGTCACAGTCATATTTAATGTCATCGCTGTCATTTCCGCCAACGTTACAAAGTGATATTCTAATCGATAAGTTGGAAAAATGTATTTAGTTTTCTGTGTACTTTTTCTTTTATCTGTTCACATTGTACTTTCTTTTTCAAGATTTCTTAAATTTAGGCGTTTATCTATTTGATATTTATTTCCGCCAATTTTTAATTGCCAAAAAAAAAAGAAAAAAACTGAAATTCCACTTTAATTGATAAACTTTGGGATGTATTTCTTCTTAAAAACTAATAATTTCAATTTCTTCCCTCAATACAAATTGCGCCATCAGATTAGTCCCATTCTTGTGCTTTTCCAGGATTATCCTTC